GAAGCTGAGCGGTGACGTACAGAGCTGCTCGGGTCGGCTCGATGCTCTTTCGGACGAGGAAGCCCAGGGTCACCGCCGGATTCAAGTGCGCTCCGCTCACGTCTCCGAACGTGTATGCGAGGGTGCTGATGGTGACGCCGAACACGGTGGCCACTCCGATCGGAGCTAGCAGGTTCGCGCCGCCTAAAGCCTGCGCGGCCGGATAGTTGACGGCGGTGGTGATGACGGTGAAGAGGAAGAGGCCGCTGCCCACGAACTCCGCGGCGGTGGCTCTGTAGAGCGGGCTCTCGTAGAGGCTAGGCATGCTCAGGTAGTCTGGTTGCAGATTTATTTGTCAAATCAGAACGCGAAACTTCTCGTTGAAACATCTGAATGTCCATGTGGGTCATTGGTTGTCTGAGAACATTCAGCTCTCACAAATGCAGCACTCGATGCATACATCGTTCGCATGAAAGACAAGGCGCCTCAGCAAGAGACGGCATACATGGTTCGGCAAGCGTAGTGTTTAGATTAGAAAGCATCAACCACGCCTTTGCTGGATGTACACTCCTACATGCTATCTTTCTATATTGGTAGCAGAACTCTGACTCGTCCTCCAATTCCAAGATCCTTTCCTCCGGATAGCCTATGAAATGAAGCAGTACCCCGGCCTCATTCTGCGCGCTCTCCTGGTCAAGAAATAGGGTTCGCAGAATGTTCTCGAGTAGGTTGTAGCGTCCCTTCGCAGGATTGAAGCGCACAAGATGAAGCGGCACCTTTATTATAAGAGGGGCTTGATAGGGTGGTCCGTCGTCGATGTGGCCGCTTCCTTATGCCCGTCGCGAGGGGGCAAGGGCGTGCGTCTGGACGTGCGGTTTTAAAGTGGAACCTAAACTTAGCTCCGATTCGGAGGAAGTTCCGTAGAAGAGATGTCGAGCCTGCCGTTCACGGGCCGTCTGGGCGCGTCCTCGTCGTCCTCCTTCGTCACAGATTCGACTGGCACTTCAGTCGCGGTCGGGCAGGGAACAGGCGTGGATGCGGGTGGCACTCAGAACATATTTTTGGGCTTCAATGCCGCCAAAAGTAACACTGGGAGCTCAAACCTGATCGCTGGATACGCGGCAAACAGCGAGTCGACGGGTTCGACCACGGGAGCGGTCATCCTCGGGGCCAACGCCGGGTTGGTCGCCAGCAATTCGGCGGACAACGTGCTGATCGGCAACTCGGCGGGGCTGCATACGGCGACCGCGAGCCAGGTGGTCGCCATCGGGGCACGTGCCTTTTCCGAGAACACGAGCGGCTGGTACAACTGCGTGGTCGGAGCAGACAGTTTCGCGAACACGGGCTCTTCGGCGAAGAATGTCGCGCTGGGTGCGTTCAGCGGGTATCAGGTGAACACAAACAACTCGTGCATCATGGGCTACCAGGCGGCGTATGGTAAGGACGCCAGGCTGTCCGAGGGTCTCGTCGTGATCGGCTCTCAGGCGATGTACAACATCTCATCCGTGGTGAATGGTCTCAGCATAGGTCAGTTCAGCGGGTTCAACCTGACTAACGCGGAAGATTTCTTGGCGATCGGCAGTAGATCTGCATATGCGGTGACGTCTCAGAACTCCGTATTGGCGGTGGGACACGGCAGCGCTCAGAACGCTCAGTTGACGGATGAGGTGACCCTGCTGGGCCACGCTTCCGGGAAGAACCTGGCGGGCGGCGGCGTGCTGGCGCTCGGCAATCGGGCCGCTGCCACCGTCCGGGGCAGCGACGTGACCGCGGTCGGAATCGACGCCCTGAACGGCGTGCTGCCCCGTGCGGTCACGTCGACGGTGGCCGTAGGCAAGCAGAGCGGCTACGGCGCCACCGCGGCGGACTGCATCTACCTGGGCAATGCGGCGGGCAAGGGGGCGAACGGAACGGGCTCCATCTTCATAGGGCATCAGAGCGGGGCCGGAGAGACGTCATCGTTTCGCTTCGTGCTCGGGGCTACCAGCACCAGGGCGCCGCTGCTGACGGGCAATCTAGACACGAACACCTGTCCTTACCTGACGGTGAATGGAGCGTTGCGCATCCAGCAGTCCAGCCCGGGCAGCCCGACCGCCGTGGACGATGGCATCGTCTTCAACAAGGACTCGACGTCGTGGCAGGTGTATGTGGACGAGTCGGATGGGCTCTCGGTGCGCAAGAACGGCTCCCCGGTGGTATACTTCGACAGCCAGACTGATCTGGCGGCCAACCTGGACTTCACGGGCCAGCATAGGACGGCCGTCGCTCCGAGCTTCAGGGACTCGGTGCAGGCGGGGACGACGCCGCAGGGAGTCCCTCTCGAGGGCTGCGTGGTGTGCAGCACGGGGCGGATCAGTTCGGTCCCGGACAAGACGGGCGTGGTGAGGACCGGTGCGGACGGCATCCGAGTCTCTTGCGCGCTTCCGGTCGTGGAGCTGAGCACGGAGAGGAAGGACAAGCGCTGTTTCGGAGTGTTTGCGGGCTGCGAGGACATGCTGCTGGCGGGAGCTCGCGGCGTGAAGTCCAGGGTCTATAGGGCCGGCGGGATGAACGTGGTGGTCGCGAAGGCCTCGAACGACGACCGCGTGGTGATCAACAGTCTGGGAGAGGGTGCCTGCTGGGTCGTGGGGGCCCCGGGCATGCGCGTCGAGAACGGGGACTACGTGTGCACGAGCGACGTCCCCGGCTTGGTGGAGGCGCAGGAGGACGACGTCAGGCACTCGTACACGGTCGCCAAGCTCACCATGAGCTGCGACTTCGATGAAGACACTTTGGATCACGCCTCCGTCGCTTTCGTTTTTGAAGGCCTGCCACGCGTCGCCTGCTTATTGGCTTGCTCGTATGCATTTTGATTGCCGTGTTGCGTGCGTAGATGGTTAGATCAATGCGTCTTGTGGCAAGATTCAAAGGACGAACCGATGCCTGACTAAGCTTCCAGCCCGCGGTTCTTGCGCCGCGCGAGCAACTTCTCGTACGCTTTCTTTTTAGTGTTGCTGGCACGCAAGGCATCCAATCGTCGGAGGACTTCGCGACGCTCCGAAAGGTCCCCCGTGAGGGTCTTGACTACGCGAGCCCCGTCGTAGGCATGATATGCTCCCACCGAAGTGACGGCTACGTTCATAAGGGTGTGCGCCATGTCGTCCGTGACGGGGTAACCCAGGAGTTGCTGTAGAGGTGAGATCAGGGACTGAGGATTCAAGCACATGTTGTAGAGCGTGAGACAGCTAGCCGTCACCACCACCCCTGCGAGGGTCGCGTGTGCGATCTTCCAGAGCATATTCTTCAGAGCGTCTTTCATCTGAGGCTCACACATGCGCGCCGTCAGGAAAATGAGCTGCACGTTGCTGAACGGGACGATGCAATTGTTCAAGGGATGACGGTATTGCCCGTCACCACCTTCGCGCTGCTGTTGAGAGAGAAGAGTCATGTACAAGCTCGCCGCATCCCAGCAGCGCGTACTTCCGTCCGGCGTAAACTCGTATACGATCGTGTCCTTGTTCACATAAGGTGCTAGCTCTTCAGAGTGACCGGATCGGTGTCGTTGTCGCATTTGACGGGAAATTTGCGAAGCGGATAGAACAACAGACGCGAGTCGCACTCGCCTGCCGGGTCATGAGCAAACGGGAGTTCCATTCCTATATACCCTAGGATACGATATTCTCTCTGTACGCGAAAGATAGTCATGCGAAGCTGCGAAAGGTGATGTTGATTCTTGACGGAATGCTGCCCCCACGCTTGCCGGTCACGCGCGTTATCTCGTGCGTGAAGTGTTTCTGCATGTTCCCACCCATCACCACGAAGCTACCGTCCACGAGCTCCAAGTCTTGGACGACGTCCTTCGTCGAGTAGTCTCTGATGCGGAAAGTCCTCGTCGCGCCCAGCGTGATCGACATGATCGTGGAGCCGCCGACCAGCTGCCTATCCGAGTCCCTGTGGGGGCCGATGTAGTGAGTCCCGTCCTTGTACCAGTTGACTAGGGCCGAGTTGTACGGCCCGTGCTCCGTGCCGTTGGCCCAATCCAGGAAGGACTGGAAGCAAGGTGGGAGTGGCGGGGCTTCGTGAAGGGTGCCTGTGAAGTAGTACGGGCGCATGTACGCCTGTTGCCATCTCGGAGTGGATACGACGCGGTCGAACATTACGAGCTTTCCGAACTCCGGCGGATGGGTGTTCCACAGCGCGTCATAATCCCACGTCAGTGTGTCGGGAAGCGCGTCGTGCAACACCCAACTCTCTCGCCCAAGGTCCACGAGGCGCCGTGTCGTTTTCTTGCGTGCCGGCGCCGAACGAGGTACCGTAAATCTGGCATCGAAAAAGGTGCGAATGTCTCTGGTCGACATGATCGAAGACTGGTCTAGCGAGAATCGAGCCCGGCCGCAGCTTCAACTTCTTTTGGATTCTTCTGGATGTGCAAAGTTCAGATCACTAGCACTCTCAAGAGCATCAATCCATTCTAACTCCGGCGACATGCCATGTCGATGGGTGCGGTGCAAGACTGAGAATATCCCCTCGTCTCAGGGTTTGAACGATTTATGAGACATCTTTGCCACATATAGACGCTTATGTAGAGGCAATTGCATACAAGGCATGGAGCACAACGAACACTTTGTCAGATAGTCTGATCCGTTATAATAAAGGTTTCCCAACAGACTTGCGTAAGGTGGAGTGCTTACTTGGGCTCAGTTGTTATCACATGTCAAGAACGTTCGAGTCTCGTAAAATCTGCCGGTATGCCCATCAACCAAGTAGAAAAATCAGCGTTCATCTGCCAAGTCCGATGCGCATCTGGTGTTGCACGCTCGAACCTCGCTTGCGACGGGAGGTCTTTCGATGCACGGAGTGTCAGTACGTTGCATGATCCGATGCACGAATGGCGTGGCGTCGACCAGGCCGTTATAGGGACGTCGCCATAAAGTATCGGTGTTGTCACGGCTTTGTTGCGAATCTCGGGCGTCTCCGTATGCCCCTTCAAAACTAGATTCAAGCTGGGGCGAGCGAACGCCGGAAGCTTGACCTTGTAAGTATGCCCGTCTCGAGCATTCCGAAAGCCTGCCCTGGGCCAGGTTGCCTGTTTCGCGACGGAGATGCACGGTGCCGTCGAATCAGGAGCTTGAAATGTCAGCTTTGCGGCCGTTATATCGGTATCTCTGAATCCGCTCGCCAACAAGAAAAAAGCCAGACGCACGCAGTCCGGAACGACGGCGTTTCCCGCGAAGCCGCATCGCAGTACCCGTTTTGGATCGGCACCAGGGGGGGTCATGCGCTGGGGCTCGTTTTCGGAGGACCAGTCGAACGGTGATATTCGAGGTCCGTCCAAGTTTTCTGAAAACCAGGCAGCGTCGCCAGGCAGAACCACCTCTCGCGAACATGAGGGGCACCCACCGCAGACGCAGGCACGACCGCCCATCTCAAGTCATACCCCCGTAGCTCGGTCAGCTCTCGGACTACGTCGTTCATAACTAGAGTCAGGACGTTGGGGACGTTCTCGAAGAAAACAGCAGGAGTATGAGTCTCGTCGATCAACCTCATGACCTGGAAAAACAGCTTGGACTTCTCATCTTGGAAGCCCAGTCTCTTACCTAGGGAAGAGAGCCCCGTGCACGGCCAGGAAGATAGCATGATCTGCACGTTGTCCTTCTCCGACTGCCCACTCTCGGAAAAGGAGAGCTCATGAACGTCCCCCACGATCGGACACTCTGGGATGGTGCCGTCTTTCATCCTTGCTCTCAAGACGGCTTGACACGGTTCGAAGATCTCGCAATGCAGGATCGGGTGCACGAGCCCCTTGAGACCCATACAGACACCTCCGATGCCGGTAAAGAGGTCCACGGCCCGGAGGGACTGCCCTTGCGGAGAGGGGTCCCGAGCCATGTTATTGTGATCTTTCTTTGAAAATAATCAGACGATCACAAACGCCCGTTCGGTCTTGCGTAGGCGGAGGACCACTGCCCCGACGGCAACGTAGCTCTATGATGCCGGTGTGAAGGTCACGAAAGGGCAGTCCCTCCGCGCCTCCTAGAGAAAGGCCTCCAAACGACATGTGCTCCGTGTATATGTGGTGTACGGAGGACTTGCCACGAAAATCCCTTGCTCCTGCGTTTGATTCCGGTACCAAAATTCCAAAGATAACCTCAAAATCGATGGGCGTAGACACATCTCTCGGCTGCTACAAGGTCGAAGCGGACCGGTGTACTCCCAAGAGTTGTTTCGACTTGCATTTTCTCGAGTACGATGAGAGGTTGAAATTGGCAGATGAAGCCTTCAAGGCAAGGAAGCTCGAGTGGAGCCTCCGTAACTATGGTCATTCTCGTGTCGAGGAGGTTTGCGGAAGCAACTTTTACGACCTGAGCTGGACCAAATGTGTCGGTTCGTTTAGCACGGCAGACCTGGCACCCATGTATGTGCGAGCGGTGAAGTACGTCGATTTACACCCATCAGAGAAAGATGCATCGGATATAAGGGACTATCTGGGAATAGCCATCGACTTCAACGTGGGAATCTTTGCATGTTGATGCTCCGGCCCATACCCCCTCGTAAGACGCATTTCTGGGGATGATCCCAGGATCCCGAAGTTTCCCAAGATCCCTGTCCCCGGATCTCGCTTGCATGCAAGAATCGAAGTACACGTCAGAAGTGATTCAAGCGTGCCAATTTAGAAAATATAGCAAACTCGAAGAACGCAGTGAAGCCTATTATTTTTTGTAAGAAGAGGTGCAACAGGGAAGCGTTGGCCGTGGCATGCAACGGCTGGAGCACATGGATACCACCAGCCTACACACAGAGATCTTTCATGCCTCACTCTTTGGCACAATCGTCCCCGTAGAGTTGAGAATAGCATCGACCTACTTAGCGGTGATGGACTTTACTCTGCAAGGGTCTACTTACACGTTCAGCATCGACGA